CAAAATGTGGTGCTTCTTAAGGCTTTAAAATGGGTATCAGTATTAAAGAGCGTGAGTGCTTTTTCTTGGTTTTGCGTATTTCACAACAAGCTTTATTGCTGGAAAATGCTTTTATGTAAGCATTTAATTGTATTTTTCCTTATTCAACAAGTTTTCAGCATAAGCTCCCATTTGTATTACCATTCTCCTTATTAGTTTCCTCATTTTTACTATGTCTTTCAAACATCATTGAAATCTGTATTATTTAGTCTCTGTGGGTGTGGGTCTGATCCCTCAGCCTTTCTGCTAACCAGCTCCTGTTGACTTTGGTGGGAACTCTCTCTAGAGACTTTCAGAAACCAGACATATAATTGAATCCATCTACTCCTTCATGAAAAACTCCTGTCCAGTGCTCAGTCATTATGAAAACTTCTCAAAACAAATTGAGTAAAAGAAGAAACAGAGCTGAAAGAGACCACCCAAAGTACTAGAACCAAAATAAGCATTATACCTCTCCTTTTCCTTTATTCCAGAACTTGCATCCATATTCCATGTCTCAGAAGAAGGAAAAAGACCACAGTTATTAATAATTGTCAGAGACCTTCTATAATAACTTTTTTTTTAATTGCCAAAAATAGATGTCTGTAAAAATCTTCTCAGGAGCAGTCTTCCCCATGCTTAGAATGACAAAGGGCTGTCCTTTTTGTAGTGCTGATCTACAGTAATTTGGTCTTAATCTGTTTTAACAAAATAGTCACATTGGAGTAGAACTTGCTGTTGTCAATGTTAGATTGTTCCCACATGTTTTAACATCTGCTTGGTGTGTGAAGCCAAAGTTTCCCCTTTTCTGGAGGCATTCAGAGCCATTTACTTCATAAGGCAATGTCAGGATGAATGACAGGAAATTAAGGTTGAATTATTTAGCTTTGGAAAAGTGTACAGAACAATACATTACTGAAGAATGCCCAGTTGAAGAAGCTAAACAAAAGTAACTGCAGGTGGTCTCAGCTGTTGCCTTTGTACTTGGCCACAACTTCCCATTTAATGAGAAGGTGAAGAAGATGCCAGTTCTGAGCAGAAACGTTGCAGCTTAGTCAAGTATCTATTGTGGAGTTTTTGATAGAGATAACAGGACTTAGATAACAGGACTTACATAACATAGTAACTGCCATGGCTCTGTTTACAGTGGGAGTTTGTCAGAGAAGTCTTTAAAAAAGCCAAGAGGAAATTTTGGCAACAGCAGTGTCACACAAAAATGGGTTTTAAATAGTCCAAAATTGTCAGTGGTTTATCTTTATGAGTTCTGTTCAGCAGCAAACATGGAAGCTCAGTGGCTCTTTCCCATGGAACTGAGTGCAAATGTGATTGGCCTTCCAGGCACAAATCTGAAATACTGTGAGGGCACCGAAAGACTATAAACCAGTATATAAACTATAAGTTTTGGCAAGCAGTTAAACTACCCTCACCATTTATTGTAGTCATGCACTACCATCAAGCTGAAAACTGCAGAATCTGAAACAATTTGATTGTTTTCAGGAAAATTCCTTTCTAATGCCCACAAAGCTATTGATTGCTTAACTCATTGCACAAAAAAACATACAGTCATAATGCAGAAAGGAGGGCTGGGGAGAGCTGATGGAAAAATGTTGAACCAAATTTTAGCTAAATAGCTTGCAGCAGAATTGTGTGTGCTATTAATCGGATTACTGCCACAGAACATGGTGGTCAGGGAGGTGATGTTTGGAGGAATGCCTCCTTAGAGCTGACTGTTGCTCCTTCATCTCCAGTCTCTCCTAGCTTGGCAGTTGCTGCACTGTTTTATTCTGTCTGCTGCTGCCAAGACCGGTGTTTTTGACAGCATCAGTGCAGTTTTCCTGAGGGGTCTTGGCTCTCCCCCAGCCAACTGCGTGCCCATACAAGTCAAACCACACAGATCCTTGCTGTTCCTTTGTCTGTCTCTGTACAGAACCTACTCTTCACCTCTGGGGAAATGGGGAGCTTGTGTTCTTCTGCTGCTTAATGCAGAAGTACTGATGCATCCATAAAACTTGGCAGAAATAAAGGTAAGCTCTCGTGTTTTTGGCCAGTGATTCAGGTCATGTTTTTATTTAAATAATAGGCTATCCTGAATCTGTTGGTTTTTTTTTTTCTTTTTTGAGTAGCAGCCACACAGTGATAGTCATAGCTCTTGGAGGCTGAAAATCCCATGCTGCTTAGGGGCAAAGCAATTTGAGCAAATTTATATTACACTTTCAAAACAAATTGAATTTTCATGTACATTTGGCTACTCCATTCACTGCTGTGTTCTTTTGCCATAGTAGTGACTTATTTATAAATCATCACCTGCTATACTTTGGGGTGAAAGCGACAGTTAATTTGGTTGATAAAAAGATATATTTTTGGAGACCTGGATGGCAACATGAGAAAATAGACTACTTCAAATTTAATCATCCCTGGAATGGAAAATAAAGAATGAATATGATGAAGCAGAACCTTTGAGGGGGAAAAAAAAAGAAAAAAGTCTGCTTTCCAGGCTGAGAGGGCTCGCTGTTCTTGAAGGGGACGCTTTTCCCATGGAAAGCATTTCACAGTCTGAGTTTTTCTCTTGGGGCTTTCACCTGTATTTCTGTGTGAGATAAATTACTTGCATAATCTCAAGAATACTCGGGGCGGGGGGGGGGGAGGGAAGGTGTGGGCAGTTTGTGGTTTAGTTTGTTTATTGTGTTTTGCTTTTTTTCTTTGTGGATGAGGTTGTTGTTATGGGGTTAAGGACAGTATATCATTGTGGACTCTTGGATTTCCAAATCCAGGGCAGGAAAAATTCCATGTGAATTACCACTTGCCATTTTTAATTTGGCATTTGCCATTTTTCATTTTGCAGTGTTAACATTTTGTGAGTTAATACCCTGCAAAAGCATTAGAAGAATACAAAGAATGATGACTGGAAGTGAGTAATTTTAGACCTTCCCTCTAATTGTCGGTTCTCATGGAACACTGATTTCTTACACTGATTTATATCTGTGTGTATATATATATATATATATATATATACATACATAGTATTTTTCAGAGTGATACTGATATAAGCTATACATTTGATTAAGCACACTTTTTACTTCTTCCCAGCAATAATATTCTTTTCAAACTGTTAAAAAATCGCGTTGTCTGTCTCTCGTGTTCTGTGGAGTAGGTTGAGCTGTTTCAAGGAGAGGAAAAATAAACTTTGATGACATCAGTCTGAGGCAGCTCACAATGTACCCAGCGAAGAGTGCTATCAGCATCCCCTGCGTGGTAAAAGAAACCTGAACAGATAAACTCAGGAGCATTTATAGTGCCCAGGTCCATTCACTTCTGTTGATCAGGGCTTGTAATGAGCAAGTGCTCTGCGTGCATCCATTCTCATTTATTAAAATGCTTTTTTCCTTTAATATCTACTTACACTTTTCTATGTGCTCATTTAATTATGTAGACTCTGATGTGAATCTGAGTAGAGGCTGTTTCCATGTTAAAAGATTAGTGATATGGCAATGTCTGTTAACAATTGCAAAAATCATACAGGACTGCATTAATGTTTTTATGGCTGAAATGTGGCACTGGCAATGGTATATTATACAAAAATAGATTTTATTTGTGTGTATTGATGGTGTTTCTATAATTAATTTCCACCGACTTTTGCAAGGGCGTAGTCAAGCCCAAGGAAATTTTAACTTTATCTTAGAAAAGCTCTTTATAAATGCTGGTATTTTGGGAATGGATCTGACAGGTGGTGTGTACTTTACCATATACAGTTCTCTCCTGTTTTTTTTTTTTTTGCTGTTGCTGTTGTAGTGTGAGATAATGAGCAGCTTTCATTTTCCTTTTATTGAAAATACAGGGATTTTTCATGTAGTAGGATTTAGCAAGGTAAGGTGTGATATGTCAGGAAATCCCACTCTGGGATTACCCATCATTATGGCAGTTGCTGGAAGTGACTGAAATAGGCACACAGGAAAAGTTACAAAAATTCAGCGAATTCTTGTGTCAGAAATGATAATTTTAAGAACAGGAATCACAATTAGGTTTGGCTTTTTACAGCACATATCAGGGAGCTTTAAAGATGGAGAGGTTGGACTCCCTTTTTAGCTGTTTGCCTTCAGAGGGGAAATCAGCTCATTTATTTGCCGTCACATATTGAGGGAAAATATTTTTTTTCTTCCACTTGTAGATTTGTTGCAATGTTTTATTGTAAATTTGTCACTCCTTCATTTACAACCCTGAGACTCTGCAGAAGGAGTGATAAATCTAACAGTGCTTTTATCTTTGCTCAGTAATTTCTTTGGAAGTTTTTTTGCAAGGGGGGGGGGAGATAAAGTAATTGTACAGATGAAAAAAAACTGGGATATATTCCAGAAAAAAAAGGCAATGGTTGACTGAAACTGATGGGCGGTGTGCTCTGAAAGATAACACTCAGCAAAAAGAGTAGAAGACAAAATATATAGAACCATTAATTCAGTGTCAGTGTTTTATATGAAGTAGCATTAAGGGGTTATTTTCAGGTTCACCTTCCTGCATGCTTTTTACTCTCACCATTATGTATACAAACCCTGTGATTTAAAGCATTTCATATTTACTTTTAGTTGAATTTTATGTTTCCTGGTAGGATAAAAACCCCCAAACAAACAAAACCAGCTTCTTGCTATAAAGCAAGTGTATGTATAGAGATTGGAAGACTATTCTGAAGTGGCACAATGGCATTCCAGCCTTTGTGATAAGTGATTTGTTACTGTTAAGAAAATATAAACAACTAGCTTATATGGTTTGTAAGCAGTGAGAAATCAATCCAGATGTTACAAATCATAAAGCCATACTTCTCACAGATGGCCATTTTGCATTGTTGAGAGGCAGTTCTATGATTTACTGCCTTGCTTTTTTCGGGTGGGAGTGAGGAGCTACGCATCTGAGATGCAAATAGAGCACACTGTGTATAAAAGTGAATTATTTTAATATGAATACAGGCATGAAACCCATGTTTTTGCTTTCAGATTTAACAAATCAAGTAGAGACAATTGGATTGAAGCTGCAGAAAGTAACAGCCGAGATGGACCACTACAAAAAGCTGTCAATGTAAGATTTCCATTTGCTTAATTGTTTTGCCACTGCACGTAAAGCTGTAACAGACCACTTTTTTTCAGAGACCACTGCTCATCGTGATGATTTAAGAAGGTTATGACCAACAGAGAAGATAGTTTATCTTCATATTAAATGGTCTATATTTCTAACCACCTGACTGAGCGCATCTGTCTCTGGAAGCAGGGCTTTCTTCCTCCAGCTCTGTTTAATGATGCAGCAAAGAGGAAGATTAAGTAAGCTCAATACAACACTTCATTTAACACAAAAGTGTAGGATACGTTTTGTGAAATATACATAACTTCAGGCCTAAAAATATATGTGGAAGGTAATGTTTCACATTAGAATTTTGGGATGGAGGGAAGTGTGCAATGAAACTAATCAGAAATTTTAGTATTTAGTCAGTAACTATGATTTCTTTTTTTAATTCGTACCCTCCCACCTTCAGGGTAAACTTGCTGGGACTTTTTCCCATTCACCAGTGTGCTATTGTCATTTGTAATTTTACTATATTGTGCCTATAGTTTCAAGTAGAGTGTGTAACGCCTAAATTAATAGAGCAAAAATAGAGAGTCATCAAATACTTGTCAGAGCTAACTGAAGTGTGATGACTGAGGAGAGAGCACTCAACTCACATAGAGTGGAAAACTTGGCTAACTCTGTCTTCAGCCCACCTGAAAGGACCAGTGCCCACGGTAGTGACTGCAGCAGTCCATACTGATTTTAGATGCTGCTTCTGCTGCCCACAGATTAAGGAGAGAGCAAAACTAAGTCCTCTGTCAAAACCTGAGGAAATAGCAAAAAAGATGCACCTCTTCTTGTGTTGTTATTGTGCTGTTGCACACTGTTCTGGGTTACTGTTTCAATGGCCAAACAATGAAGTTGCTGCATTCCTTTCAGCCTGGGAGCTGTATCAGGTACCCAAAATCGGGCCACATGACCTCCAGGGTCACATCCAGACTCAGTAGTGCTCAGTGGGAACCATGTTGTCACCTCTGAAAGTTGTGGGACCCAGGACTGCATGCTTTCCTCTATTTCAAATCCTTGTTGCTTGCATGTAGCGTGGAAAATAATTCAGAAACAGCAGGACTTTATAATTCACTTTGTAACACTTTGTAATTCACTACTGACAATAAAAATTATTGTTTCAAACATTAAACTCAAGAGTAATGAGCTACTGCTGCCAGTCTTGAGACCAGCTATCATCAGTCTTTTTGTGTGTCTTCCTGAAATTTAAACAAGGATTCATTCTTTCATGATGTGTACTTTCTGGTTTTGGTCCCTATGTTCAGAGGGTCTGACCGTAATGAAGTTGCAAATATTTGGAATGCTTAGCAACAAAGTATTTTAATGATAATACAAATATTGAGTATGAGAAAAAGATTTCCTGAACACAGTTAAATAAACAGTAAAGGGTTTCCAAATGTAATATTAAAATTTCAATGTAATATGGGTACAATTTAATAAAATAACATATTATATATCTGTTTAAATGTAAATACGAAGCTTAACCATGGTTATTAATTGGTGAAATGATGACATAATGAGAAGGAATGTGCAGAGTTTCCAGCCCTCTTACTCATTTGTTGTTCATTTTTATTTATATCTTGCAACAGTGATAAGAGTTTCAAGCAAGATCTCACTTCCTTATTTGCAGCATTAAACTTGCTGTAATCCTAGGTTAGGCTGAGATTATATTAGAAGTGTAACTTCCAATTGGAAGTATATTGGGAATAGAAGAAATATATTGGGAAATAGAAGAAATAGAAAAAAGAAGAAAGAATATTGGAAGTGGAACTTCCAATTCCTTAAAAATGTTAGCTAGAACTGAAAGAACTTTTTGTTTCTTGTTTGCCTTTTAACTGAAATAGAAAATGCAAGTTAGATCATTCATCAATAAATGATGTTCAGGGTGCTGCATGAGTAAAGGCTATCATTTCTTTGGACAATGCATATTTTTTAATGTTTTAGGGTGAAATCAACGGAACTTGATGTCTGTCAAAATGAACTGAAAAAAATTAAATACGAAAATGGAATTTCTGAGTCAAGGTAAATGCTGAAATTATATTTCATAACATACGTTTTTGAACAGTGAGAACAAAACTTTTATTATTTTAGTGCAGTTTTTGTACACTTTTTTCTCAATTTTTGTGTTCAAGTCCCTAGATTTAGCTTCATAAAAAATACGTAGGTTTTTATCTAGTATTTTATTTTCCAGGTTCAAATTACTTCTGTATTTAGTTTCTGTCTGTAAATAAGAATATAGTAACTACAATGCTGATAGTTTATTATTTTATCTGTAGGCTTACAAAAGAGCTCAAGGAAAAGGAGGAATCTTTTCTAATTTGCCAGCAAGTATGCAAACATTTACAGGAAGAAATGGCTGAGAAAGAAAGGGAAGAAGAAGATCTAAAAAGAAGAACTGGTCGATTAGAAAGTGAGCTGGAAGCCCTTAAAGCTCTTCTTAAACAAACAGAGGAAGAGGTAGTGATGTTGAAACAAGAAAGGTAATCAGATTGGAGTCACGACGGGTAATCTCCTGGGACTCTTTTTGGAAATCTGTTGAAAATAGAGCATTCCTCCTCTGGCAGATCCTGAACCTCTCTCATGGTTACCGAAAGGACAGAGGTTCTGTAAAGTACTGAGGTGGTTCATGCCAGTCAGGCTGCAGGAGAAGCAGCAGAATGAGAAGGGTGGTTCTGGAACTAGGCAGGCTGGGAGGGACATGCTGCTCCCAGCTTTGTGGTGCCTTGCCTGTGTGCTCAGGACAGTCCTGGCCTGCCTCTGCCTTCTCTCATCTCCCGATCTTTAAAAGCCTTGGCAGCCCTGACCTCATATCCATGATAATATGGAATTTTGGAATTCATCAGGTGGATTTTTTTAAATTATTACAGTATAAAGAAAACTTGAATGAAAAAAAAAAATTAAAAAGGGGGGTAGGTGAAGGATGGGAAAGCCTTGCTTTGCGGTCCAGAGCTTCAGCTTAAGCTTAATCAAAACACCCCTTTATTGCAGTTGTTATAGTTGCTATTTGTTATGTAAAGCTTGTAGAGCAAGAGTCCCAGGTAGTTTAAATTACTGTAACTTACATTTGCAAGTTGCAAACCATAACAATGCTATGAATATTAGTATATCCCAGGTTATTGGATATGGTCTAATATTTGATAAGTGTACAGACTTCCCACCAGTATGGTAATATTTGGAAGGTTCTCAGATATCAATGAAGCTGCCATTTTCCCTGTAATTACTTTTCAGAAGTAGAAAACAAAGGACTGAGCTTCTGAGGGTTGTCTTGGCACAGTATCTAGTTTGAGTGCCTTTGTTTTAGACATCTGCACTTAGCAGCCTAAATCCATATTTTTTAATTGCTTTGAGTGTAATTTATATACCCAGTTTTATTTCTGACAACCACAAACTTGTTTTTACCATTTCAAAGTATCCTGCCACTAAATTTTCAGTTACTGATAAATTAGCTTGTCTTTTGTTGGCAAAAGAGAAAGTGCTGTCCCTGCTTAAGACATGGCAGAACATTATGTGTTTTGTGTACAGTGAAGAAGTGGCTTTTGGAGAAGATAAGCGTTTTCTGAGAGTGATGTACACGAAGAGGCATTAAGCTACTTTCGTATTTAAAGAGTTTGAACATTCCCTGTGCTTCAGTACCTGCATGAAAAGATATTACATGTTAATTTAAGAGTATTCCCCTTCTACTTAAACCACAGATACACGAGTTGTTCCAGTCAGTACATTGCTAATAATCTAAGTTACAAGAATTTAAACTCTCAAAGGCTTTTGCTCTACAAGCCTGGTATAACAAAATATAACTCTAACAATAGAAAACACTATGGTGGTGGTTTTAATTCAAAACCTATCGCTTTTTTTATAATTAATGATAGTAATAGTCCGGGTTTGTTAAATACAACATCTTCTGAATATCACTCACTGACAGCCAGAACAAGCTGTCTGGCTAGGTTTAAACCACGACAAGCAGTTTTTCACTGTCCTTCAAAATTTGACTTGAGAAATACTAAAACTATTTGAGGTTTAAATATGTGCGTGTAAGAAAGATCAACTATAGCATTTTCTATAAAGTGTAAAATTCATAAGGCTTGCGATGGCATTATGCAGATGCTAAGTAGTGATTACTGCTGTGCCTCTGGGCTCCAGGAAGGGTTCCTGGGCTTATCGCATGGAGTACTAAACAAAGAGGAAAAGACAAGCCTTTGCCACAAAGGACTTAATTGCAAGAAAATGGCATACCACCAATCTGTGCAGAGCACATATTTACATATGGGTTTATGTGGTTTCTAGGGAGTTTATGCTGATTTCTCATCAGAACAGAACGGAGCAGCTGCAGGTAGCGTTAAGACAGAAAATGCGGAATGAAGATAACTGGAGGGAGAAGGTAATACTGGATATGCAGTTTCAATTTCTTTTTTCTTTTTTCCAGTTGTAGTCAGCTGTCACAAATGAGCACAGTAAGCCACATAGCTGTCTCCACAAGTGCAAGCATGTCAATAGTATTCTTTGTACAAGAGGTTTTAATGGGTGATCTCTCTACATAGATTGGAACTGAATGTGAAAGTTATTTAGTATGAGTGTTTACAGACTTGGCAGATGTTCAGGTCTGGTGAGGTCAAATTCCCAGGTTTCAGGGTGTTTGTGAAGTGTCTGTGTTAAGAGTGCAGTTCCTCTGATCTTCCAGCTCCGTCCTTTCCCTGTGTGCTCTGCAGGAGAGGGTGCAAGAGGGAAAGCCCAGTCTCATGGGCTTTTGTCCTGCAGAAGCTCTGAGAAAGTGTGTGGAGCAGTCTGGGTTACAAACTCTGAACCACAGTTATGCATGGGAATCACATCAGTGCCTGGATTTGTTTCCTGACATACCTGGAAGAGAAGTGTAGGAAAGCATGTATTTAATACTGAAGTAGGTTCCCAATAAAAAGAAGGTTTGGCATTGTTGACATGATGGAAAGAACACAGGGCCTTCCTTCTTGCATCTTAGGTGAACTGAAATGCAATATTGCTATTTTTAAAATAAATTTATAAAATAAATAATAAACAAATGAACAAAAATGCCCTTTCCTTAGAAGACATGTATTTGCAAACCAAAGCAGAGCTTAACAAATAAACTGTGGTAGCACAGCAATTACAGAGCTATCAGAAGCTGTCAAATAGCAAAAGGTAGTGGAGTTGTTAGCCATACACCTGATGAGAAAGGCAAGAGGTGTGTGGATACCCTGCCTGGTACTTAGGGCAGCTGTTATGCAGGGTATATGTTGATGCCATCCCTTGAAATGAGTCTTATAATTCATGGCAATAGGCAAGTGAAACAGTAAAATGACAGTTTTACCCTTTCAAACTTCTCTGCGAACATAAAATTTGCTTGCTGTTTTGCTATGAACCTGTAGTTCCCACTGGTGTCAGGACAAGTCCCCACATGTACAGAGAGGAATATGACAGCCCCAGTGTCATCTAGCTTGGAATCTGAAGTACCTGGAGCAAGCGTTGCTGTCAGCCCAGGGGCACAGAGGTGCAACCTGGGTTTTGAGGTGTGTGTGCCCTTCCAAGCAGTCTCCCTGCCTAGTGGTTGAGAGGCACCTTGTTCTACCTGATCTGGCAGGCTCTGCATGCCCACAGGCTGAGCAAACAACTCTGAGGTAGATGGGTATTGGATTGGTGGGTGTGTGGTTGATTACAGCATGGGAGCCTCAGCAGAAGTTAGGTAGTGCTGAGCATCAGCTGTGATGGGGGCATGGGGAGAAAGCTAAGGAGCACAGGGGGTAGGTGGAGGAGCATGGTTAGACTGGGAAATTGGGCAGGGGGAAGTGATAGCAGAAAGATGGCACGTGGCTCATTCATTCACTTGAGTTGGGGGCCCACATGACAAAGAGCTAAAGGAGTTCACAGTGAAAGTCTCAGTGCTAGAATGGACCTGCAGGGTGAGAAAGGCTTCTACTCTTTCTGATAACCTCTAGCATCACTGGCTCCTTTGAGGCAGTCACATCTCTGCCACATAGGCGACTCCTAAGTAATCTCCTGAGGTTTTTTACTTGCCTTCCCTTCAAGTCAGAGCAGTATGAAAATAAAGACTTCTTTGAAATTTACTGTATTTCATTTTGAAATACCTCTGTATTTCATTTGAAAAGACTTGGCACTCCTACGACTTGGCTTCTCCATGAAATGAACAATCCTTTGTTATTTTATCCATTGACTCTCACAAAAGACTGCAAAGCCATTTTCATACACCTTCCCACCTAGACTCTTTCAGTAATTGGACAACGGCTCCTTTCACAGTGAGGAGAAAGGGGAAGGTTGGAGGGAGAATGATACACCTTCCATATGTGCATGCTCCTTTATACATGCCCATTTTTCCTTTATTTAATGGAGTGAAGAAAAAAAAGAAATCAAGTAAAGGCTACAGATGCAAAGTCGGGTTAAAATACAGCCAGGATGACTCCCCAGATTCAGGGGAAACTGGCTTGATTAGGGTGTAACAAGTGCAATAGAGATTAGGTCTGGTCCTGGTCCATGGATGTAGGATGCAATGTTGAGAAAGCAGTTCAGGCATAGGGCAGCACCTCAGCTGCACACCTGCCCTCAGGGCACCTTGCTGTGGCCATGCCAGTGCTCCATGCATTACACAGTGCTGCTCCACAAGCATGAGCTCCTGTTAACATATGTTTTCCTCTTAGACAGGTTTCCCACCACTAGTCACCTCTTTAACTGATACTATTACATTCTACAATGTTAGGTCATAATTTGTTAGTCATCTTTTAGTATGTACTTGGGTTTGGGGTCTTCTGTGGAAAAATATTTTCAGCTGATTTAAAAACTATATGTATATGCCTACTGTATGTGCTAGTTGGATAGGTTTCTTAGTTGAACAGCTGGTCAGAATGTGGCAATGCTACAGCTCCTCATTTACACTGGGCTTTGAGCAGCTCTGCTGCTGAACAATGGTCTCAAGAATCTGGATCTGCTCTGCAGGGTAGGTTGCTTTTTCTTGGAGTGTCTGGTCATGCTGTGAAGCTTTGCGCTGGAGACTCTAACTGGGATTGGAGCATCCAGCTGCCAGTTTGTTCCAGTGGGCTTTGGAAAGTGGTTTGCTGTGAACAGCTGTGAGCATGTAAACTGTGATTTAATCTGTAATTTTTTCACACTAGCACCAAAAAAAAAACCAACAAAAAAAGCCAACCCAAATAGAATACAAGAAAATAAATAAAAAAAAAAATCACAAAAAAAAACCAAAACAAAACAAAACAAAAAAAAAACAAAAAACAGTGAAGGAGAAATTGAAAGCAGTGTTGAACAATAACTGACTTCTCTGATTTAAGCCTTACATAATTGGTGACTAAAATTGCTGTCTTTTTCTTTTTTTGTTAAGTACATGATAAGCATCTGAAAGCTTTGTTTAGTTTCTGGATTTTTTTTCGATTACTAGCAATTAAGATCAGTTACACTTCTTTTAAAACTCCTTAACCTTTCTATCACAAGATATAATTTTAGAATGAGGTCACATTCTGTGCATAACCACAACTTATTGTTTCAACCTGACATTAAAACAAAATAAAGACTGCTGCTAGTAAGAGCAAGCAATTACAACTTTGTTATTACAGCCATTAAAATGCATTGAACAGCAAGTGCTCTAGAAATGTTTTCATCAGAGAAAAGAGTTAGAAATGTGACAAAGTGACAGTTATCTTTGTCTTGGGTCATCCATTGCATCAGTATAAAGTGTTCCAGTTTTCCATTTAAAATACACATAAACCTTAAACTGTTTATTTCCATTTAAAATACACATAAACCTTAAACTGAACAAGAACAAAAATCTCTTTTACAAAAGATTTTCATATTGATATAAACATTCATTTTATGGATGTTTTTTAATATTAATGAATGAGGGGCATGTAAATAATTTTAAAGCAATTAGTGGGCATTATGGTTTTTTTTTGAAGATCAACTGCCATTTTTTTTCCTAAAGGTTATCAACTTTATTAGGTTCAAATGCTAAATGTGAAAAATGCTTGTATAATCTTCAAAATTAGCTCAGGTCTTTTACACTGCCTTCATTTTTTTAGTCTTTTTAATCAAATAGCTTCCAACATATGATCTGTTTCTATAATAGTAAGTAGAATTAATAAATTAGGTTTTCTAGCATTAGAATCCTAACTTCCATATCTAATAATGTAGAAAATATATCTACAATAATAATAGCAATAGCAATAAAAGTATACTTTTAGGATCTTACAAATATACTAATTTTAAGCTAAACCTTAGTGGAGAATTTGTGTCTATTCCATGCCCAGAATTTGCATATATTTTTATATAAAAAATAATTAAAATACTTCCAATTTCTTTTTTCACAAAAAAAGAGTTAGGGGAATTTGTTATGCTTTTACTCATAATTAGTGTGTGAAATTAGATAATTGTAATTAAGCTTATCTGGGCTTTTCTGCTTTTAAAAAATCTAAGTAATTAGACTAGTGGTGCGCATTAATGTGCGTTTCATGTATTTTTTTGTGTTACAATTAAGTCCATTAGAATTCAGCATGCAGAAATTAAATATTAAAATAGTGATTTAGGAAAAATATTTTTCAAAATATATCCTTCAGTGTTTACTCCAGAATCCAGGCTTTTATTTTCAGGAAATTATGGCTGAATTTTCAAATTTGCATTTATAATATTAAATGTGTGAGATACTTTAAGGACTGGGATATTTAATTCTATGATTTTACCCAGAATTTGCAACTCTTTCACATTTATTTCTTGACTTTTTGGTCCAGAGCTTGTCCCACACACATACCATCAGTATGGTGTTGTCAGGATCCTAAAACAAGCTGGAGCTGCTTGTTGCTGACCTTGCACTGTGGAGCCTTGCTGCTCCTGGAACCCTGGCTTGGCAACTGGGCTAGCACAAGCAGCTGCGTGTGCCATTGGCGATGTTTGGAGAGGCAGGCATCCCGCTACATCATCCGTGGGATCCCTCAGCATGCTCCTTCCCTTGGATTTCTGGTATTTACAATGGTTTTAGAAGTGGGACATGTTATAAAATAGGAACATGGTGCTAGCTAATGTTTTTTAGATGTGCGCTGCTCCTCTAAAGTGCAAGGTAGTACATGTGGAGTATGTATCATCTGAGTGTGGTCCCTGGGAGGCTGAATGGTAAAACAAGAATAAAAAATGATTTTATAAGGAAGAGTTATCATCTTTAATATTAAGCTTGTTTGAAGACCGACTGTTTGGGAATGGGTCTTGACATTTCATGACTGATTTTCAGCGCAGTAGATGTTAGATACTGTGAATTGTATCATTGTGCTGCATTTGAAAATAATGAGTTTTACCTCCAGAGGGAATGTATCCAGCAAAATAATCATCTATGTTAAGAACCAGCTAATGATTTTGTAATTTGGTATTTTCATAGTGATTTAGTGTGAAGTTCAGCTGCCTAAATTTAGGCATCTAGTACCACTTGAGACACCATGGGGCTTGTGAGACATCTTCTGGGGCTGCTGGCTGTGACTCAGCCCTGGTGCTCTGCAAAGCAGGAGCCATCCATGCAGCTGTGAACCGGTGGGAAGCAGGAGCTTTCCCTCACCAGGCTCCAATGTTGCAATCATTTAATGTTATTTCTTCAGTGCCCCTAATCTTAAGTCTGCCAAATTTCACATCACTTTATTTATGGCAGTATGGAATGTGAAAAGTATTTCAAGATGAGTTGCTACATATTGTTAAAAAACACTTCTTGCCTAGATGGAAATTGATCTGGCTAAAGGTGAAGCACAACACAAAGAAGCAATTCTTAAAGTCAAGGAAGAAGCAAGAGTGGAACTAGACATTGAGAGACAAAAGCAGCAAGAACTGATTGCAAAATATCAGAGAGATCATGAAGAGCTCCAGAAGAAGGTGTGTAACACTCATGAGAAAAGTTTTGTGGCAGTAGATAATATAAACAATTGAAAAATGACATGTGAAGTAATAAAACCTTCTTTAGTCCTTTTTCTAGATGATACAAGATTTTTTTCAAACCTTTGTACATGGCATATATTTCTTTGGTTTTTTTTCTTGTTTTTTTTTTAAGTTACATACAGAAATTGAAAATTTTACCTATAACCTTGGTTTCAAAAGATTTCTTGAAAATTCTGGAAAAATAAAATCAAAGAAATTTGATGAAATATATTGTTATTTAAAATGTGTTACATAGTGTTTTATGGAGCTGAAAGTAATAGTTTGGCATAGTTCACTTTACAAATATTTGACTGTGATTTTAAAACCCGGACGAAATACTTGCAGTAAAGAAATTAAGTTTTCCCACTTTTACCTCTATTTCTCTGTTTGATTTTGGACATACTACTTAATATCTCTGGTCTGAGTGAGTTTTGATCCATTTATGGCTCTTTGATATCCTTTGAGGGTATAATGTAAATTCAAAGCAATTTTTGTTTTTGTCTCTGAGGACACCTATGTTTGCATTTCTACTTTATCTCCTGAGATCAACATTTGTCTGACACTTAATTCTACATATTGAAAGATATCCCTTGAATGTAATTTTTGTTTAATCTAATGCAGATTCCAGGTTTAATATCCAGTGCTACCAACAGCTTAAGGATGGAGACAGAAATTCTTGAAAAGAAGCTACAAGATGCCCAGATCAAACTTACAGAGAAAGATGAAGAGAAGGAAAAAGAAATTGAGAGCCTTAAAAGACTAATTACTGAACTTGAATTTCAGCTGTCGATGGAAAAGAACAATAATGAATCATTTCTGGATAGTATGAGAAAAGAAATTAAACACAAGTCAGGTGAACTGGAAAAATTAAACCAGGAGAGGACACAGCTGATTCACAATCTGAGTCAAGTTCAAAAAGAGGTAGGAACATGACCAAGGAAACGCTTTGCTGTTTTTACTTGGACATGTGATTTCTAAAATCATTCGAAGTATCTGTATTTCAGACCCTGTTAATGTGCTGATTTAAAAACCATTGAAGTTAAACTATTTATAAAACAAGTCCATCACAATTTCAGAAATATAATTTATCACAATATATGTGAAATTTTAAGTGCCTGCTGAATTAAATGTAGTGGTTTATTTAAAATATATATATATTTCTCAGGTCCTGCAAGACATTTATTTCTTAATCTCTAGCCTCACATCACGCTATGTAAACATGAGTCAACAATAGTGTTCTTCATGTTTTTAAAGTAAAAGATGTGGACATTTTTCATTCTTAGAATGAAACAACAGCAATCTTTCCAGTAATCCTGCTTATTTTGGAAATCATTTGTAAGAAAAACTTCCGTATGATCAATACAGTTCTGAATGGCATCTGGGGCAGAGTCTGAATTGTCTAATGTGTGTGCGTCCTGCGTGCTAATAGGGATGTGTTCCACCTCCCACCAGTAAAGACGCTTTCTCTTACACAGGAATGCATGAAAAAGAATCAAAAGTGAAGAGAAGCTTGATTGATGGATATTCTTATCACAATCATTTGCTGAATATCTGTAATATAATGGGAAGAAAGCAGAGAACTGCACTGCTCTATGAGAACTGTGAAAACAGTGAAGTCAGGGACTGTAGATAAGATTAGACTGGAATGTCCAAAGTAAGTGGCAGGGAAAAAAAAAAAAGGTAAACAGTGAAAATAAAACTCTTCAAAATTAATTTAGGGCTTGGGTTGATATTTATTTATTCCTTGAAAAAGTTTCAGAAACACTGTTAATGAAATTACAGTGATATAGAGTGAATGTAGGTACATCCTGTCCTGTACCTATGGAAAAGGCTCTTGGAAAGGCACGTGCTCTTCAAGTATTGGTCAGGAATTTCAGCAGAGTAAGGAACACACTGTTATCCTTCATCATGAGATTCCCTGGCTCTGCTTATCTTCATTATGCATCTATTTCATCCTCTTAGCACTGAAGAGGTTTAGATAGAAAAGTTTGTGTCCATGCAATGAGGTTGTGCATGACTGAGGGTGGTCTCTGTATGACTTGATCATCACTCTCTGCTGGAGACTGCCTTGGTGGTTGTTTCCCTTTCATTCTCATGAACCTCCTGGTGTCAGCAACAATTGCTTGCTTAGAAGAACAAAAAAGTGTTTATTTTCTCTTTGTGTTAGTACTTTCAGTAGTTCTGATTTTTATGACTCAATTTAGTGATGTTGTCCCTTGTGCTTTGTTTGCTTTTTTTCAGCTGGAAAATTAATTTTTCAGGAAAATTTAACATCACAAATAAGATCCACACAATACAGAAATTTGTGGACTTCTGTAATACTGCAACAGTTTTAGTTGTGTGCTTAAGGCCCAGTACCAGTCACTTACCATTTAGGTACTGGGAATCAAAGTGTACAGTTTGTGAAAACCACTGGACTGAAAACCATTCATCCCAATGATATGAGAAATAATAATCAATAAAGAACGCCATCACAAAAATGGGTGCACAATTATTTAAACTACAGAGGAGGATAACTTCTTGGACATCTTATCATAGCAAAGTGGCGTAGTAGCACTTGACCTCTGTCTGTTGCTTTTTTCTTTCCAAGAGCAGAATTCCCAGTTTCCCCCTCGCTGGAGGACAGGCAGGATATCAGAAGTAACTTCTGATAACTTGCCTCATATTTTCCACTGTCTCCTGAGGGAATGAAGGGTGTGTAAATGCTGATATATGTCCTTTGAGTGACTTTCAGAAAAACCAAGATATGGGGAAGCGTTGAAGGATTTGGGTGCATCATTACCCTCCAGCTACCCCTGTCTTAAGCCCAAGGAGATGAATAGGCCCAGCTTTTGACTAATGGCATTTTGTAAAGCCAGTGTTTGTTTCTGTTTGCAGAACACTCTTCTCCAGGAAACAGTGCGCAGAGAGTGTGAGGAACGCTATGAGCTGACTGCAGCTTTGACTCAAGCCAGGGAACAAGTACTGGAACTAAAAAAACTCAGTGGAAATTTCCCACTATCGCTCTGTTCCCTGGCTCAGGGCAGCCTAACCTCCTCTGCTGCCCTGCTCACTGATTATGGACAGAAAAGCCGCTCTAGCCGCAGCACTGGGAAGGAAATCAATCTCTCTGGACAGTTTGGTATTTCAAGAGCTGCGAAGGCACCCACCTCCGGTAAGCGTAACAGCAGCAGCAGTGTGTGCTTGCCAGCTCTAACCCCACCACATCCTCCAAGAGGGAGGGCAGCTTCGCTCAGCGAGCCCAGGAGCAGGATCTCTGCAGTTATAAGACAACTGAGCTAGCTCTGGCAGCTACATATGCACGCATAGGGCATGGGAAACCATTCCAGTGCATCAAATGGCTGTTTACTCATGGACCCCAGGGTCAACTCTTAGCCGATGCAATTCATGCATTTCTACAAGTTAAAATTAATTTTTTATATATTTTTATTGCAGTAATGTTTCTTTGTTCATCACATATTAAAGTAATTAAATGCTACCTACGCTTCAAGATGAGGAAAATAAGAAAGAAAAAATACTGTCTCTCCAAAAGCAACACATCTTCAATAGGTGTAGTTAAATTATTGGCCAATTTAAATTCCTGTTTTCCCAAACCACTTTGTTAGAATTTTCCTATTTTGTGTGTTCTCCTGTTTAACTTAACTGCTTGTTTCTGGTGTAAAAATGTGATTTGTTTGGTTAGAATCAGATTTTTGCAATTATTTAATTGAATAGTGTTGTATTTGCAAATAATTATGCTTAGGTCAGTGAAACTTTCTAGTTGTGTAGTATGTATCATTCAGTCTGAAATCTGGGAAATCCACATGCTGAGTAGACTAGTCATTGGCAGAGACATATGGGCAAGTCTTCAAGCTGTGCTAATTAACAAGGAGTGGAAGATTTAACACGTTTCATCCAAAAGACATTTGCCTCTTTAATCAGAAAAGTGTCTTTATGTTAAGCGTAACTTCTTGCTTCAAAGGGTTCTCTGTAAAATTGTTAGACAGGAGGATCAGTATCTTTATTTTACTCCTTGATACGTGGAACCATGGTTTGTTTTGGAGCCCAGACAAGGCTTGGTCATCTTTGTTCACGTGCAGAGGCTGCAGAAGTAGCTGCTTTTTGAACAAGGCAGCTCTGCTGCTGGAGCAGTTTGACAGTGTGGAGCATAGAGTGGACTGAGTGAAGCAGTGATGGGTGACTCAGTCAGTCTGAGATTTCACTTACTGTGTTACCAGATACTCAAGTGTTTTGGTCAGATAAGCCCAAACAGCCAGTTTGCTGATAGTAACCAGTTTTGGCAACAGCCCAGCAGTGATTGGACAAGGAAAGGTGATGAAGCAGGCCCAGATCAGCCTGGCAAGTCTCTTGGGCAGAAGTAGACCTACCACATTAGACCCAGCTCAGGCAGGAGGAAGGAGCTGGAGCTGAGCTCCTCGGCACATCGCAGTGGCACAGGGGTATGAGCCCTAGGCACAGAGATGCTGGTGGCCCTGCTCCATTGAAAGACCACCATTCATCTTCTGAGACCATCAGCTCTGACTTGGACAGAAACTTTGTGGAAGGTAAGTTAGAGGGCAACTTTTTGGAGACTATCAGAGTGTGCACATGAGCAGTTGGAGAACTGAAATTGTCTGCTCCTGTTTAGGTGTGGGGACTGGGCTTGCTCTTCCCTTGGAGTTGTGGAGTTGCTTCTTCATAGGGCACTTGTAAACCCAGATATGTTTAGAATCGCATCATGAACCTTGACCTTCTTGTTATTTCTGAGTGATGAGATAGTCCTGTATGTGACAAAATGACAGCAGTAGGCCACATCTTCAATGCTAGAGAAAATCAGAGAATTGGTAAATCCAATGACATGACAGGAAATACATTTTATTCAGTAAAATCAGTGGAAGGAACATCAATTTTAGATTTACCCTCTGGAGCTTGATTTAAAAACATGCTCTATCTTGGTTTCTGTTCCCACTGAAATCATCAGTCAGCCTTACCTGATTTCAGAGGCAGCATCCACTGAAATCATCCTCTATTCACAAATTCCAAAGCAACAAAATTATAAAAGTTGTTCTGGTAGCTTCTGCTGCACAGGGATACTCTGCAGGGACCTGGAAGATTGAATGGACTTGAACAGACCTCAGAAGAAACTGGTAGCAAGAACCAGTTGATTGGGGTATGTTAGAATCAAACACAAATACAGTCCCCAGGAGAGTGTAGACTCCGGTTGGTGGAGGTCAGAGTCTGGCAGTTTGGCTTTCCTCATTCAGCAGGATCTTGGTGGTTGCTGTGACTAAGGCCTGCTTGCCTTCTCTGTTGCAAAACAGGCCGTCTGTATCTTCTAACTGGAGCATGTGCCAATAGGCTGTATCCTCCATGGGTATCCTCAGTGGAGGCTTGCCCAGTTTACTAAAGCAGAATTATGCTCAATTGGCCAGTGGCAACAGTGAGTCTTAAGCCCAACCAAGATACCTGGCCAGCAGTGGAAGCTGTCTACAGGATCTGCTGGCTTTGCTCAGATACTTGTATTTTTCTTAAGGATGTTGAAAATTTGTAATGTCAAAAGATGTGAAAACAATTTCACTGAAACACAAGCCTCAGGAAATTCATTTTTTCAGCAATCCCACAAATGCAGAATAAAGGTGATGGGAAGCAGTCCCAAAGGTCTGCTTGGAGTATGGCTGGACGGTGCCCTGCTCTGGTCAGTGGTGAAGTTGATTTTTGCTTAGAAAAGATGCTGACGTCTTTGAGCTTGAAAATTGTTATCCCACTGTCCACCCACAGCCTTCCTGTGCTGAAGTAACAGATTTTCATTGAGGTGGTTCTTAAAATTTATTGCTCTATGATGTAGATTTTTCATAACATTTTTAGATGAACATTGGTTGCATTTTCCAGCCTTACAAGAGAAATTATATAAATCCACTAACTGCTGTTACATAATGTTACGCCCTTCTGCAGCTATGGACCAGGAGTCACAGTGAGCCCTTTGGTAGCTGATGTCGTAGTGTGGAGTTTAATACTGGAATATTTCTGTCAAAGAAAAGGTGGGACCTTTACCTGTGGACTGTTTTGCTTCCTGAGATCACCAGGATGCAGTAATGTCTCTGTGCTTACAACAAAGCCAGAGCATGGGTGTGGAAAGCTACAGAGTATTCCAGCTGTTCCTTCCCTTGTGCAGCTGTGGCTGCACAAACAGGTCAGACTTCAAATTTGGGCTCCTCCGACTGCTTCAGTGTTTCTGTTCTGTAGCAGCAGCAATAGCAAAGGATGACGCCGTGGTCAAAAGTTGCAAAGTGAGGAATAGCACATAAAATAATGAGAGCAGTCACAGAAATAATGTTTCTAGCATGAAGGAGTATATAAATCATGGATCCAGACTTAAGTCAGGAACAAATATTTCCCTTACTTCCCCTCCCTCACAGTAACACAGAATTCCTGCTGCTAAGCAATAAACAAAATATATGAATGTCAGGAAACTTTACCAGCTTTTAAAACCAAATAAATTTCACGTAGTCAAGGAAAGTTTAGAGAGTATTTCTTGTAATGGGATGAAACACAACAGCAAAAAATACCACGAAGAATGTGGACACCTAATTATATCCCCACATATCCAGGAAATAAAACTTCCTGGAGGCAATATATCTTGCAGAATTGGTGTCATTTATGAATGTTTTTTTTTTTGTATGCTGGACCTTGCACTGTAGGACTCATGGCACAAGGGAATGCTTAAAAATATCTCCAAGCTCGAAACAAATCTGCCTCTGTGGGGTACAGGGTGGCTGGCACCTGCACCCCACATCCTGCAGAGGCAGGATGGCTGGCTGGAGGCAGCAAGCCATTCTCTCGCCTCTCAAGGTTACAAGAAAACATCCCATGGCAATGAGCTGTCTTGTTCTTGCCTGATGCAAAGGTTTCTGTTTCTTCTTGACAGAGCTGATATTTTTGCCTGATCAAGAATAGTAGCTTGTACAGTCCTAAACCTTTCCATAAAGCATTAATCCCACTAAGAGGCTCTGCCTGTTTGCATTCAATGCACTAACATACTGTGCTACTACCAAATTTATCCATTTATTTTTATCCACCAGTCTTCATTTCCAGAGCAGTTTCAAATATTCAGTGTTGTACTATTAACTGGAGAGAATCTACACACCATAGCTGAACACATCATTATTTGGAGGAAGCAGAAATGGTTCAGGCTGCCATTGCACTGGTGGGTTTGTGATGGGAAAAGGAGACGGACAAGGGCAGAAGGACAGGACCTCTCCTGGGTCATTGGCACCATCAGTGCTCAGAGCTGTTCCTTGGCTTCATCTTAAAAAGAACTTGCTGGTTCACTGTGAAAGAGGAGCAGAAACTAACAGGAAAGACTGATGAAGTACCTGTGTATAGCCTGGACTCCCAGGAGATTGGGACCCATAGCAGAGCGGAAAGCTGAGTTCTTGGGCTGCACTAGAAGCACCTGGCCCATAGACTCCATGGGCTGCCCTGGGGAAGCTGAATCTAACTGGAGTCAAAGAGAATCGGAGTCCACAGTACCTGCAGCAAGAGCCAGGTATGTAATTTCAAGCACATGTCCCAGGTGCAAATCAATGGCTCTGGACAAGAAATGGTGTGTATCCAGCCTGTGGGGTGCTCGGGTGGGAGAGCCTGGACTTTCCCTAGGCATGCTGCCTGTCCCACTGGAGCACGAATCAAATTTAAAGCAGTTGGTCTATACTACATTATGGGTCTGTGCTTTTCCACTGAAAGCTGCATAAAATTTCTGGGTTTTCCACAGACATTAGTACAGAAAGGGTCAAATCCTTGTCTGGTGACGTGGAGTTGTCTTGCTGCTCCTTTGACAGGAGATTAACTTATTGCTTGCCATATGTATCAAAGTGCTTGCCATCTGTATCATAGATATAAGTGCTTGCCATATGTATCAAACTTTTATTCCTAATAGGATATTACAAACTAAAGCAGTGATGTGCCTCATGTATTAAAAATTATAAACACATCTTTAACTGAGTTGGTGTGTATGATCTGGGATCCCAGTCTGTGGCTTGCATATGGAGTTTTTCCACAGGGAAAGAAATTCGACTTCAGAAAAATGCGTCTTAGTATCTTAGCAGCATTAAGAGTATATGAAAATAGAAACTGGAGCCAGACCCAGTGCCATATATTATTAAAATGTACTAATCAGGGGAAATAAAAAAGAGAGATCTTCTTGTCATTTAAAGAAACAGTTGTGCTGCAAGATATTATTTGCTCTAAAGTCTTGATTTGGCTCTCAGTGTTTTATAACTAGTTTCCTTTAAAGCTTGCAGTATGCTGCAGAAGCACTGTGCTTTTTTAATACAAAAGAAAGAACAGAAGAAGGCATTTGGTGAAATTTCCTTTCTCAGACAAAACCCACACATCTTTATTTTTAGTTATTTAAAATGGGGACTTACTTACATGATGAAAATGTGATGTTTGAATTTTGTGTTTAATTGTTATAGGTGGTTAAGTGTATTCTACTGAAGAAAGAGTAAACACCGTACACAGCCGTAATGGTGTGAAACAATATAGCCAAATATGCTTAGCACTTATGTGGGGTTTTGTCGTCCTTGAAGCAAAGTACAAATTAATTTTGATAGGATAATTAAAAGGGTACTGCAAAATATTAATGCTGAAGAGATTTTAACCCCGGAAATATAATTTGTGTGATGGAAACTACAAGCATCTGGCATTGCACTGTGACTGTTCCCAGATAATGAGAAAAATCTTCCAGGCAAGCATGGCCAGTTTCCGCAGATTATTTTTGCTTGTCTCTCCAAAGATACCCTCCATCCTCTGAACCACTGCGCAACCACTGTTCCCTCCTTGCAGTTTTCCATCTGGAGCCATGAATGTGTGGTGAATTAAGGTCAGTGCCAGGATGTGACTGTATTTCTTCCCAGTAAACCGAAGGACAATCACTGAGCAGCTTCCCGAAACAACACCTTCTGTTCTACTTAAGTGGATCCTGTTGCTTTGTAACAGTGTGGCAAAACCGAGTAAGAGTTCCAACAGCACGTCACTGGCAAAAAAAAGTGTTACCCTGAGGTTAACTGGCTAATGTCACTCCCAGCAACGTGTTACAGTTTGCTTTACACCAGTTTATACGGACAGTCCTTCACAGTGTGCTTCCCATGGAGAAGTCCAGAAAAGCATATTTAGAACTCTAAAAAAATTTTGCTTTAAAAAAACATGAAGAGAAAAAGTGTTTACAATGTGTGTTATACCATATCCCTGCACCTTCTGTGAGACAGCCCTTGTGCGCTCCACAGCTCTTGTCCACTGAAGGAGGCTTCAGTGCTTTGTCTGGTACAACAGCAGTTCACATCTCTCTGAAGGATACTTCAAAGAGCTTCTTGATGTAAATTGCTGTGTCCAAGAAGTGAGTCATGGCTGTGAATCTCTGTGGCAGGGAAGCCTTTGCTGCCTTTGATACCTTGTAGCATTCTGCAGGGACACAAGGGTTTGCTCTGGAGCAGCAAACTCCTTGGGGCTTGGCACAAGGGCTGGAGGATCCAGAGCAGAATTGAAGGACAGGTGGGAGCCAAGGCAGGGAGTCAGGGCTAAGCTGGAATAAAGGCTCAGGTGTCCATTAGAAGTGGAGAAGGGCTTGGAGGGAGCATCTTGCAAACTTACGTTGTTTATGAGACTTGGATTTTACCAGGGTGTGGATTGCACTGTGCACATCACCTTCATTCTTTGCCTTTTTACTGTGGAGTTGTACATGATGACCCTCTGCATAGACTGTAAATTGCAGGTCTTTCTTACACTGCTGGCCCATCACACCATGGAGCTGCTGTATATTCACCTGCTTGTCATACTGCAGGCTGTAGCAAGTGACATTTTGCAGTGCAGTACTGGTCTGTGTGCAGGACGGCTCTGGAATACAGCAAACAGAGAGGAAAAAAAAGTGGTTTGTTGTCATAGAATCTTATAATGGTCTGGCCTGAAATGGACTTTAGACAATCGAGTTCCAGCCCCCTCCCATGGACAGGGACACCTTCCACTAGACCAGGTTGTTCAAAGCCCTGACCAACCTGGCCTCGAACACTGCCAGGGATGGGGCAGCCACAGCTTCTCTGGGTGACTTGTGCCAGCGCCTCACCACCCTCACAGGGAAGGATTCCTAATACTTAATCTAAATCTCCCCTCTGGCAGGTTAAAGCCATTTCCCCTTGTCCTGTCCCTACAGGCTCCTGTACAAAGCCCCTCTTCAGCTTTCTTGTCAGCCCTTTTAGGTATTGGAAGGCTGCTCTAAGGTCTCCCCAGAGTCTTCTCTTCCCAGGCTGAACAAGCTCAGCTGTCTCAGCCTGTCTTCATAGAAGAGGTGCTCCAGGCCTCTGAGCATTTTTATTTTCCCTACACAACCATCTTTCTGCTTGTGAAATGTCAGCATAATCCCATGTCCACAGGTCCTGAATAAACAGATAGTCTACTTGGGGTTTTATTTATCCTCTATTCACTGTCACACAATAACAAAATTAGGAATAAAATGGACATGCTAATGCAGAAGCTGTTTCAGTAGTGCAGCTTAGCTAATTGCACTAGAAACTGTCACTGGGTCAGGTCTGAGCACTGTAACAGCCTCTTCAATAAATAAATTATTATATTTTTGTGTGAGTCATAACCTAACATACTAGAGAATAAAAAAGTAGCCCCAAATCACACTGCAGGTGCCATCTAATTCTTACTTTCCTCTTACCCATGCTTGTTCTTTTAATAGGTTGTAAAGTGATGGAGTCATGCTGATTGCTCTGAAAGCTTGTGTAATTTTTATATCTTCTAAAAAAAAATTGATCTCTAAATGTCAGGAACGTGTAGGTGATGACACAAAGCCCTTTTAGCCTATGAAACTCCGGTTTTGCTGCTTTCTCAAACCCACAGATTTACAGGAAATGGTTTGGTTTGGGGCCCCCCTATTTCCAAAAAAATTTACTGGTTTTCAAGTTGATAGGATATCCTGGTTTAACATTAAAGATATGTTTTATTCAGCTTGGAATTCAATTAGTGATGTAATTATAGTAAAATCCGATTAGTCCTCGGAAAGTTTCACTTTTGTTTTCTTATTTGTGGAAACCTTAAACTTTTCCAGGGCTGGAAAGCAATACCTTGTGAGACTCAGTGATAAAAACCCGAGTTGGCCATCGCACATGATGCAGAGCATTGCACATGGTCAGTGTGGAAAGAGCAACAGACACTTCAGGTGCACACCCTCATGTCAATGCTGAGGGGTATGCATGCTGGCTACAGCTGGAAGTGCTTCAAAGCTCCTGAATTCATTGATGTAAGAGTTAAAGAACAATTTGGTATAAATAGGAAGTTGATTGCTGTGGACTCACCAGCTGCAGTCAGTGGAGTGTAAAAGGTCTTTAATGATGCAAACAACTTTTGGGCAAAGTACAAAAGAAGATAATTAAGCAGTTAGGTCAGGAGGCATGGCAAGGATACCTTTGTAAGAGTTCCCTTCAGGGGCTGGTTTGGAAGCTGCTTGCTCTAGGCACAAGCACAGACAACCTGAAGTCCAGCCCTTTTAAATACCCATTATAAAGCCAAAATCAAAACCAAAATTGGGAATAAATAGGTTATTAGCACCAGGTTTTTTACATCTTTTTGCTTAGGCTGTAATTTATTCAAGATGCCATGCTAAGATCCTGAGAGAGTTTAAATTCAGATGTGGTGAAAAGCGCAGGTGATGTGAGGTGTGCTCCAAGGAGTAGAGGGTTTCAAAGGGGACTTTGAGGTTACTGACCAGCCTGGACAGGGCTGGTCTTAAACAACATTCAAAGTGAAACTGGATGTCCTGACACAGCCAGAGGTAGGTCTCCTCAAGTGACACCTTGGCACAAAGCTTTGATATGCAGAATTACAGCTTGTGAGACCACATCTGCAGGGATGAGTGGGCCTGACACAAAATGATGTCTCCATTATAGTGGTATGGTATTTTGTCAAAACAGCCCAATAGTTTGACGAGTCTGAAAAGGGGAATCAGCCAAGAGCTGGGGGTGACCTTGCAGGAATGCCTGTGGAAGCCGCTTTATCCCAGGTTTCTGTCTTTAGCCACAGCAGGACGTGTTCAGTACTTATTTAGGTTTTAAACAGCAGGCAGGGACAGTCCAGATTCTGAGCCCGTCCCATGGGTGTGAGACAGAGGCTTGGTCTGAAGCTTTGGAGGTCATAGTGTTCTCCTCTGCTTGTTGCTGAGTCAGGGGGGAAATCTTTGCTGTCTGGCTGAACCCTGGCTGGTGGGACTGCAGGCAGGTTTCATGCTAAGTGAGCCCCAGGCAATACAGATGCCTGTGTATTTTAGTTTGTTTGTGGTTTTTTTTTAAGTAAACTGGCACATTTGATCGAGGGGGTGAACGCAGCAACATCTGCCCCAGGCTGGAGACACCCTGCAAAAAAGCTTTGGAAAATATGACCATCACTAACTCCAGAGGTGTTTCCAGTGCCCTGCTGGCTCACAGAAAGAAGTGTGCTTTGTCCCCTCCTCTTTGCCCGACATCTCAGTTGGTGCCATGAACAGACTGTGGACTTTGGGTACATGTCACCATCCATCTGTGCCCTTGGTGAGGAAGAAATGAAGTTAGCAAGCACTGTTTGCTGACACTGGTATGTGGTTTTGTTAGCCCATGCCAGGCTTTGCTGTGAGCTGGGAAGGCCTGAGTACTCCCATTGCACTGTTCGATCTGTGATTCACCTGTCCCAGACCTGGGGCCAGCATCGCCACCAGAGCTGGTGGAGGCTCCACCAGCTCTGCTGCAGACACTGAAAGGTTGGTGTAGTTGCTTACTGCAGCTATGGCTATTGATAAGTATTTTGTACGTGGGCATTCCAGGTGTTGGCTAAGCAAAACAGTTCCTAAGTGGTTAAATTGCTGTAGCAGGTCAGTTGGTGGTGGTTGTACCTTGATACCTGCAAGGTGAAGGACCCTAGGTTATCTGGGGCTGGGCAGTGAAATTGGGAAGCTGTGTCTTGCTGTCATTATTTCTCTTTTCCTTTTTCTTTGAGTGCGGCACAGACAGTGCAGTCGCAAAGGATTAATGTAAGCAGGTCACCTCTCCACCCTCCTCCTCCTCTCCCTGTCACTCTGCCACGAGTCACCATCTTCTGCCTCCTTTGGTCCATCCTTCCCAGCAGGTTTGTCAGCTCCCAAGTGGACACCCCACACACGCACAGGGGTCTCTATAGGGTGAAGCTGTATATGTGGGGTGCACTCTCTATAGGGTGAGCTGTGGGATCTCAGGGGAGGATGCAGTGTAGGGCCCCTCCAGAGCCCACTGCCTGCCCAGTCCAGGGACGGGGCAGGTGTTACTGAACAATGCAGAAGTTAATTGCCATTTCAGGATGCCCTCAGGAGGACACAACTCTTGGCCAGAGCATCTGGTAGTCCCCCCCATGTAGGGCGGTGGGGTATTGGTGCTGCTAGGCCAGGCATTCCCAATCCCTGCACTGTCCCTGCCCACCTGCTGCCAGCTCCAGGGCAGGATTGTAATGCCGGAGTCACTGTGGTCTGTGGAGTTGTTTGATGAGCAATAATAGGAAATACGTGGCTTTATAATATATGTGAGGATGGTGGGTATTTCTGGCTTCTGCAGGCTCTGCAGTCCTTGCTCAGTCATGCACCACCTACCATGATGCAGGCGTGCAGCTTTACCCCTGAATAATTTGAAGCCAAGTTTCTGATGTTTTTAATGTAAAACTAATTGATCATTCAGGGCACAGCATTCAGCTGATGCGTGAGTGTCCCCTGGTTTTGAAAGCACCCCAACCCACACCTTTGTTTTACAAAGGTAAGACTTTAAAATGAAACCCACATATTTCCAGTTTAATTAGGACAGGAAGTTGGAAGTAGGTTATGTGAGTGACATGTTCATTTAATTTGCATAGAACCAGAAACTGTGTCCCATGAGTGTCACCAGACCTCTATGTGTGATGAAGACCATTCCCTTGGTTTCCTCATCAATTATAGCAGTTCAGGCTACTGAATTTCTTTTAGCTAATTTATGTGGGTTTCATCTCTTCTACAACCACCATACTATGCTCGTGGCTTTAGTTCATATACTTAGAGGTTTTCTGGATTTGTCTGAACGAGGCACAGGCTGAAGACAGTTTGTCCAAGATGTCTTTGTGTCCACTTCTCTAAGCACCAGGCACCACACTGCCTTCTTTTATGTGGGATGTACCTGAAGATCAGAAGTACTCACACACTTTGGTGGTAGGCACAGAATAAAAACTGAGGGTGGTATACATCAGCAAAGTGGTGGAATAATTCAGGGTGGTCCACAATGGGAGTAACAGGATGACATTTAGCAAAGGAAAGTTTCAGTGCAATACAGAGGAAAATGTCCTCACGTGGAGTTGTGTCAGCCATGGAAGATCTCTGTGGGAGTGGTGGAGCCTTGGTGCTTGAGTCATTCAACATGGACGAGAAAAAAGTGATGGAAAATGTACTGTCAGGAGCAGCCCTGTACTGGCAGGAGCTGATGAACCGCATGACCTAAATGGTATTTTCCATCTCCCAATTTATGTGGTATGGAAAGTGATTTATTTTGGCCTACCACCACTTTACTACAATGAATAATGCCCAGCTGACAAGTACTTGCTTTGAACTCTGGGGAAAGAGTCCCTGAAGAAATCTGGTGGCCACAGAGGCACTAGGAGAGGAGCCTTTAGATCCACTGCAAGTGCAGCAGGTTTTTCTTTGCTGATGGGGTTGGTTTGAGGGTTGTGCTCTCTGTCCTGCCCAAATGTCCTTGTCATTGTACAGGTACATAGGAAATAAACCAACTGAAAACATTCCTAACATGCAGCTTGCCCTCTCTTGACTTATGAGATCACATTTTTTCCATGTCCAGGTCAGCTGAGCGGCACTTAACTGGCAGCAGAAAACATAGATCAAACATACCCTGAATCTGTGGTGTGTAAATTCCTGCTGCTCTGGTAACACCGCACGTGATGCCACAGGGACCATCCACAGAGTGGTGGATGGGGCAATGGAGCCTGACTCCAGCAGAGGAAGCTCTTCAGGAACCCGAGGCTGACCCTGCTCACTCAATACAAGTGTTCATGAATCCCTGGCTTTTATGGAAATCCTCTTCAGCGCCCATTTATGCAGTTGTTTCCTGTGCATGGGAAGCATTGTGCTGGCTGCAGGATTTGTTTTAAGTTACCAGGACTGAGTGGTCATTTTAATCATCGTAAAGTTCTGAACAAAGAACCACATGTGTGTTTTGGGAAAAGGACCCAAAAAGGGATCATCAGCAACAGCTGAGAAGTGTCCAGAAAGAGGTCATATGTGGAGGATGATTTATGGGTGCTGTGGGTGTAACCAAGTAGCAATATTGCCTCAGTGCTTTCCCAGATCAGCAGTTGCCAACTTCATTATATTTGCCGATGTCTTTTTGGGGTTTTGTTTTTGTAGATTCCATCTAAAAATAACAATATCACTTTTGAGGGTAATGGGAGCAGCTAGAAGGAGGCAGTAATTCATCTGCTAAAACTGTACACATGGGAGCATGATGGGGTTTAATTCCTGCGCTATAAAACCAAAGGATAAAAAATTTCTTCTGAAGACCAGGCTTTTCTATGAGTTTGTATTCATAGAAATTCATGCAAACACTCTCCTCTGACTATCTTTGGGCAAGGATGTTACTAAACCTGCTGTGTATCCATCTTTCAAGGAAGCAGCACTTTGCCCATAGGACCTCATATAAGGAACTGAACAGTTGCCTGACTTGCAGGGTGCACTGACTATGCAATAGCTGCAGTATGAGAGACATAGGGATCCATGGATGGGGAGGGTCATGCAGAAAGTTTGCAGAACAGCCTCTCACCACAGGCACAGCACAGTTCATGTCTTATGTAATAAGCATTATATCTACAGAAAATACTTAAAAGCCAGCACCATAAATAACAGGGGAGGGCAAAAGCCTTGGTAGGCTCCTGAAACAGAAGGGGCTGCCCTAAGGCGATGCGTAGAGTACAGAAACCAGATTACATCACAGGTCATCCCTCTTAGCCAGGGAAAACAATTCCTGGACCTTAACACCCATGATCACCATAGCCCTGAGAGTGTGAGCAGGACACACTGGCGGTGGGCTGGCACTTCTCACGCAAAGCCCTGTCTAGCTGTGCACAACCTCAGTGTCTGATTTAGGGACTTTGGTTAAGATAACACATCTAGGGGTGAAAACTAATTTCTGGCCTTGTGGTAATCAGCAAAAGCATAATGAAGCAAGGTGTAGACCAACCCAATTAGCAACGGAACATCTGCTTTCCCACACCCTCTCCCTTCTCCCTGTAGACAACTCGGACATAAAGAACACTTCAGTCACATTGCTGACACCAGCCTCCCACATTTCTTGTTGCACATTCCCTATCTTAAACCTTCCAAACTCCATCTTGGCCAAGCTGTGTGACAAGCAGATGCAGATTGCCTGCTAACCCACACAACAAAGGAGTCTGATATCAGGTCACTTTGCAAATTGGGTTCCCTAGGATTTAGTGTGGCATTAAATAATTTGTATTTGCACCCAATTCTCCTGCAATACAAAGCATGTTCAAACATTCCTCAGACACACACATGTGTCCTTGTTCAATGGCCTGGGTGCTCTCTCATGCCACATAACTGAGGCTGACTTACCTGCTTGGTGTCTCTCTTTGTGTGCTGTTGTGCTGTTCGTCTCCAGTCACTTCGAGAGGCTGAGGCCAGGAATGACAGAAGGCTTCCCAGCTGATGGGCTCTGCCGTTGAAAGGACATCCTGCTATTTATTCATCTGCCATCGCTTCAGCTATGCAGCCTCCAGGACATCGTGCAAAGGGAGCTCATCTGCTATGGTGTTCATCAATTGTATATGAGCTCTTCAGTCCCACGGCTGGATGAATGTGAGGTCAATCAGATGAGTCAGGGCTTGGAAAACAGCATCCCCCAGTTAAAACAAGGGGTTTTGTTCTCTTCTTTCCACCTGACTTTGTCTTTGTGTCTGACAAGTCTCTACATGTGGAAAGGAGAGCCTGAAGGGCAATCCAGTGTATTGGCATCATTTACCAGCCTCCTGGTGCAACGTGGTGAGAAAATGGGATTAGGTTGAAGACATCATGAAGTTGTGCTAGCCCTTGTAATCATGTGGATCACATGGATTACTTACTGACTGGTGTAGTGCTGGTGCTTTTCCATCCCCTTTCATTACCCTGATGAACTCAGAAATCTTCTAGTTGAGGATGTGCTTGGAGTCTACAACCTGGTTTTAGCCTTGCAAGATGAAAACATTCAATATATAGGCTGAAAGTCCATGTTATTTTCCCAGAAATGTAGATAAGGATGAGGCAAGAAGTAATGTGAAAGCATTTGATCTGAGGAACACTGTATTACTCAAGTTGCTCCCCTGGGGGCTTGACGAAGAGGACTGCGCCTGGAGAGATCATCTTTCCTCAGAAGACTCTCCAAGTTTGCTCACTCCACACCGTTTCATTTCATGTAACTCAGGCTGGAGGGTGAGGAACTAGAAATTTCCATTTGAAAAGCTGGAAGCTGTAGGAACCTGCCTTCTCTCCATGCTGGGTGAGGTGCAACAGCCACTGGTGCTGTGCTTCTGTCCCCCCATCAAGACAAGCATTTCAGTATTCACTGAACCTGGATTGTCCTGGGATGAGGATGCCCACAAGGTACTTTCTCGTTTCTTTGCTTTCATTTTGTTGCCATGGAATTGCTCACATCATTTACATTGCTTGCATCAGATTAACACACGTTTCTGTTTCATATTTTTCTACATAATGATAATTTTACTTACAACCACCCCAGCCCTACTCACCCAGTTGCTGTGTCACCCTGTCCTCTCCTGGCATAACCTCATTATCAAGAAGGGTATTCCAACCTCCTGTGCCCATCTCTGCTTGCAGCAGAGGGTAGGGGTTCAGGTGAGAAATTATTCCCTTAATATCAGAGTATTTATTAGTAACCCACCCTGCCTTGCAACACATGAACCAAAACTGTTTAAAAGTTACACTCCCAGATCCTTGTTTAGGTACCTACATGGAAGTCACTGGTTTTCGGAACTGTATTCACTACAGAGCTCAATGAAATCCGTGGAAGCTATAACTGCTTGGCTTTGGGGGAAATCAAGTCACTTTATTTTGGCATGTAAACATGGATTAAGAAGCCTCAACTGCAGCCAGCCAAGCCGAAAGGTCTGCCCAATTCGTGGTGAGCAGAACTCCCACTTTCTCTTCAGATACTGAAGTGCTACAGGCCTGTATCCAAATATGACTAATTGCTCTGGGATATTTTAAGGCTACAGCTGATCTCAAGACACAACCTGTTAGTAACCCAGCTGGCACAGCACTGAGCATCCCTGCCATAGTCTGCAGACTTTTGGCCTGGGAAGATGGGATGCTGGGGAATGTCATGCTACTGAAAGGTAGCCGTGATGCTTGTGAAGTCACCTGTGGAGGAGGGCATCCATGTAGGAGCTGAACTCTCACCCTTACCAGCCACCAGGACTTACATGCAAAGGAATTCATCGCTTTCAGCCCAGATCCTGAAAGGTATTTTGGTGTCCTCCTCTTCCTGAAACACTACAACGCCAGAGGTGCTCACCAAGTACCAAGAGCTGCAGACTGGCACATTTTGAGGCTGCTGGAAGCATCCAGTGCTTGGCATCAAGGAGGACTCAAGTTACTCATGTCCATCTGGGAGCACTCCCAGGCAGCTGCAGTCCCTCCAGCCGCCTCTCTGCATTTCAGTATCCAACCCTTGTTTTGAAAAGCTTTCAACATCCCAGCAGCTTCTTCCATTCTCTTGAAAACAGGACACTGGTCACCTGTACTCCCTGCACACGAGCAAGGGGGGCTGTGGCCTCCGAGATCTTACTCTGAGTCTGTCCTGGTGCCTAGCACAGCTCCTCAATGCCTGCCAGCATCTGCTGCCAGCACTTTCCTTGGCTGTTGAAGACATGCACGGGGCAGAGGGAAAGGGTTTGGGTCCTGCCGTTGTGTTTTCAGCACTGGTATCCGTGTTGCTGGCTTTGCTGTTGCTAGGGGAACCCACGAGGAGTTATAAAACAAAAAACAGCCCAGAGCCGTGTTGTGTCAATTAATGTAACCAGACATATTTCCTCAAATAAGAACCATATGTTAGAGATAACATCTCTGTTTGTTGCTGCTTGTGGTTTCTACTTGTGGCAAACTACTGTGCTATAATCCTGCAGTGTCCAACTCATTTATGAAATCACTACAGATGAAAATAAGAAATACTGTGAGTGCTTGTTTGGGGCTGGGCTTGCCCCCCTGGGCTCAGAGCTCCCAGAGAGGTGCCCATAGGGAAGCAGAGGGAGGCAGGAGGATGCTCTTTGCCCGGGGAGCAGGTATTTTATTCTCTTGAAAAGGACTCCTGTGATAGCTTGAGTCCTTCCCCCCCCCCCCCCCCTTTATTCTCCTTCAGTTCTATACAGCCTCACGTGTGCTGTCAGGCCAGGTGTCTTCTCAGCATGAGAAGGGTAAATGTTGAAACATCGCCAATTGGCGTAAGATGTGTAAGGGTTTGGATTTTTTTGGAGGTATTGCGGCATATAAAAGCCTGTGGGCTTTGAGCAAGAATTCAGCTTCTCAGCCTCTAAATCATTTTAAGATGGGACCTAAGACTGGCTGTGAAAGGCATTTGGGTACCTACCTCCTGGTTATATCAATAAAGACCTGAGGTTCCGGGGCCACGTAGGTATTTTAGAAGGATGCACCACTTCACTGAACGGGTGTATTGGAATCTGTGTAAGCCCTTAAGTAGATTCACTTGGTTTAAGATCCTTTTGCCATTGATTTCCCCTTTTGGTTCCTTAACCAATGTGCCATTTGGCTGCATGCACTACCTCAACAGAATCAACTCTCTGGTTTGGCAAATGGGCGCAGCCTTTGCTCCATTTATGCAGACAGCTGCTGCAGCAAAGAAACCCTTCAGCATCAGGATTTGTAAGAGCACAAAAAAGCACAGGAGACAGGAGAATTTAATTATTACATGATTGTTTTTCACTTGGATATTGCTGCTGTCAGAAGGAACACTGGTATCGGTCTAATAATTCTGCCTTGGTCAATCCCTTCTGATATTTACACAGTGGCTGTGCAATATTTGGTGGGTAAATATGGTTTCTTTGATCGATACTCACTTACAGCACTTTGGAGCGTTTCACGCTGCTGTTTGAAGCAGGATGCTCAGGTTGGCATCCCCTCCAGGCTGCTGTCCCTGTACCCTCACCTCCCTCTGTGCAAGTGCACTTAGGTTATTTGGCTCCCTCCAAGCCTGACTCTTTAGCTGGCTGAGTGAACAATTTTGACCTGAGGGGCAAAGGCTGAAATTGCAGTTGTATATGTTTTCACCCTGCAAATTAAAAAAAAAACCAGTAGGCTTAAAGCTAGGCATATCTGAAGTGGCACAGCCCATAAAGCAGGCTCACAGGCTGCACACTGTTCAAATGGGTATAAATTTTATCTTCCCATTAGCTGATGAGTTCAGACTGTTTCCCTTGCTCACCAATTACCTTCACTCCTGCAGATGTATTTTGCTTTCACAAGTAATCAGCAAAGAGCCCACACATGTGAATTGTTTTTTTTTTTTAACATCAAAGCAAAGGGACTTGCTCCTTGCGCTCTGCATAGGTCTCCAGGCTTGCTGCCATCAGCTCATCCCCTTTCCCCCCCAGGTTCCCCAGTCTCACCTGGGTGTCTGGGGAAAAACTTTGGCTGGGATGAGCAGGAGCTGTGTGGACAAATCCTGGAGCTGCAGGAAGGCTGGAGCCCCGGGCTGGCCCACAGCACGGGTGAACTGAGCGCAGCGATGGGACGTGTCTTGGCTTAAGCAGCCAATGTTCTCCTCTGATATTTGGTACTAACACATTAATCAGATCTCACACGCAGCCTCTCATTGTATCGCTCTGTTTGCACAGTAATTAATTCTGACTGCAGTGACTCCATCAGCCTCAAGGGTCGCTGCTTATGTGCCTGTGTTTGTGATGTGATTGTGGAGGCTGCCTGAACAAAGCAGTGATGTGTGCGGTGTGATTTCAAATTGAAACTTGATGACAAATTGATTATCGTGAAACAGAAGTAGTGGCGAGCTCAGACACACACAGCCTTGCACAGCCCCCTGTGCAGCCCCATCCACAGCCGAGGGACTCTGGAGGCTTCAAGAGACTGCACAGTGCCTGGAGGAGCAGGACTGGGCACTTGGCCTTGGCCCTGTTCTTGCCATAAGCGTTAAAACTAAAGGTGTTATTTGGTCAAGCCAATGTGAAATCCCTCACCTTGGGGATGCCGGCTCCCATCCCAGCACACCTGTAATTCCCATCAGACTTCATCTGCTGCCTGCATGTGCATTCAAGGTGAGCTGCGCTCTGCAACATGCACCCAATGAATGCCAGATACTTTCAGAACAGACAGGTCAGGGTTGCATAAGGGCAAACGTAACTTAGACTGTTCTCATCCAGCATTCAGAGGGCAACGTGGCTCACTCCATGCTGGCTGGGTACTGGGGGGAGCACACAACGCCCACTCCTCGCTCCCTGCTTTACCTGCTGACTGAGGCTGTTGGCATTTCCAGCACAAACCTTTGCTGGTAATAGCATCCTGATGCCACTGCGACGTGACCAGTGAAGTTCCCCTGGTCCCCTTGGGAAGCCTGTGGTCCTGCTGTGACCAGCTGCTTGGAGACACTGTTTGGGAGTGGATATTTATATTATTTGGGAAACATTTTAGTTACCTGCTAATGTTTCTTAAAGTCTCCTTCTGTGCTCAATAACACACGCCCCTGCACAGGGACACCTGCACGGCCCCAGGGAGCTGGGTGCAGGTGCCAAGCAGATGCTTTTACACTGACTTTAGCCTGGCTGATACCGCAGTATCTGACACATCTGGTGCTTGATGCCCTCTGCCAAGGCTGCCCACCATCGGTGGCTCAGCTTGAAGTCAGGTGCTCTTCTGTCTGTTTGTCCCTTTATGATGGGGCTGCTCTGCCTGCACCACCCGCCGAGCTCAGGGCACTCATCCTCTCCTCTTCCTCTGGTTGGGTTTGGTGTGTTCAGCAGCACGGCAGCTCAAGCCAGGCTCCAGCAGAACCCGTGCATGTGTGCACACAACGGGATACTCGTGTCCGCTTTGCAATACTTCCACCTACAGAATAAAACCCAGAACGGCAGCGGGAGCAGACGGCAGCGGCCCTGGGAGCCCAAGGGCGCACCACAGGCCTGGGGGAGGCAGAGCTGCCGTGGGGGGCTTTAGGGAGCAGCGCCAAGCAGGAGCATGCTGCAGGCTGTGTGTGAGCCCTGGTCCTCTCCAGCAAACCTGGGAAGAGGAATCCTCTGCCCTGGGACAAAACGGTAATTCGTGCAACTTTTTCCCTTCCACTGGAATATAAAAACTGCTCTTGTTCAGGGCAAAGAGCTGCTAATTTTAACTTTTCTAAATGCCCCGCTGGGCTGTGGCCAGGCAGGAGATGGGAGTGGAAAGCTGTTTCCTTTACACAAGTGTTTTTTCCTAAGAGGGCCGTAACTGCCAGTGCTCCTCTGCAACAACACCCGAGCACTGTGAGGATGCCCATCAGCCCCACGGCAGAGAGGGGAGGGCAGCGCAGGGCAGGCAGCGGCTGTAGCAGGTTCATTTCCTGCCCCAAAGAGCTTGCCATCAGCAAGCTTGTGCTTTGGAGGCGGGGAGCAACAAGGAGCCCAGGGAGAAGAGCCGTAGTCTTGGTGGCTCATGACAGGGGCTGATGTGAAATCACAATTCGACAAACATTTCCTAGCAGGAGCAGGGACCATGGAAGGATTTCCTCAAAAGGGTCCCTTCTGCTGTCATTAACAGCAACGCACAAGGCGCACTGCCGTGCCCGCTGCCACTAACCTGTAGGTTTGGGGGAGGCTGAAGCCCTGATGGGTACTTATTGGGCCAACTTCCATCACGAATATGCTTTCATTGTTCACTAGGTTTTTCTTCCCAAACCATCCAAAGCTTTTGGTCCACGCACATCCTTCCAAGGTCTGTGCCACAGGTGAAAGTGAAGAACAGTCACAACAGCTGGAGTTTACTCATTTGCATAATTTTGTTGAAAACTTAGTAAAAACATTTCGACAAAATAATTTTTTGAGGCAAAACAATTCTGAGCAACCCAGCCCAACTCCCCACATCCCAGGAGAACCAGTCAGCTGGAATATTTCCCACCAGTTCCTGTGGGCCTCTTTAGTGGTCTCAGATCTTCAAAGTTCAGTGGCAGCAACCTATTTTTGTCGCAGTATTTCTAACAGTGGCTGCAGCATCAGGTGACGCAGGAGTACCTGTACTTCCCAGGAAGCTGTCCCCACTGCAGCACGCTGCAGCAAGGGCAGGCACTAAGATGCCATGCTTGGTCCTGGACACTGGAAGGTGTCACCACCATCCCTGAGCTCCTACCTGCCAAGTTCCTGCTTTGCTTACCGAGGAGCCTCCCATGGTCTCCTTTCACTTAGGGTTGCCGATCACACTGGGCAGCTCGAGGCTTTCACAGACATTTGCTGTTAGAGCAATGTTTTTCTGGATGCATCTGAGGTGCAGGGCTGTGGCTTGGGGCGATCCATAGATCCTGTTCCTGCTTCGCCTCAGCTGCCATCTGCCAAGGATGGTGTCTGCTCTGTCAGCATTAAGCAAATGTTTGCCTGTGGCCATCTGGGTTCAACAGTGCAGCCTGAGCAACCTTCCTGCCTGCCGTGATGCCTGTGCCCCAGGGACCACATTGCTGAAAATACTGGGAAGATGCAGAGGAAGTACTAAAATATCTTTCATTGCATGTTATCTGCACGCTCTGCCACTGGTTTCTTTGGCATCCTGATATTTCATCAGTGCTGGTGAGAGAACAAGCACAGGGATGGGGCAAAGGGAAACAGGTACTGTACTGTGGTACAGCACAAGCCAGGAAAGACACTGCATTCCAATTAGCCTTCCAGTACCTAAAGGGGCTGACAAGAAAGCTGGAGAGAGAATTTTTACAAGGGCATGTAGGGAGAGGACAAGAATGGCTTTAACCTGACAGAGGGGAGAGTTAAGGTAAGTAGGATGAAATTCTTTCCTGTAAGGGTGGTGAGGCACTGGCACAGGTTGCCCAGAGAAGCTGTGCCTGCCTCATCCCTGGCAGTGTTCAAGGCCAGGCTGGACGGGGCTTTGAGCAACCTGAGTGGACCTTCCACTCGACCTATAGCATAAGGGTTAGAACAGCAAGCCCACCAGGTTAAGATGCAGCAGATGGCATCTAGACATTCACCATCACCAGATGTTCCAGCTTTACATGGAAGTTAACTTCAGCTTTGGAGCGAGGGGTGCTGGACACACAGAGGGGTTATTAGCAGTCATGCAGAAACACAAACACAGAGGCTGAGTGAGTCCTCTTCATGGCTCACTGTGATGCACAAACGCCTGACGTTCAACAGAGCCTGAGTCAGTTGCGCTGCTACTTCGCAAGTGGGTTTTTACTGCTGCCTTAGACTGTGTAAATTACTCATATCTAGGGAAAAAAAGCTACTTAAGGTTCCATGGCAACAAACAGTATTTTCCTGAAAGCAGCAAACACATGAAACAACGAATTGCAGATTTTAAAACCCGAGAGGTAACCAAGACTCAGAGGAAGACATTTCTTTCTTCCCGCTTTTCAGAAAGATACTTTTTGTATTTCTAGAGAACAGATACAGATGGGGCCTCGCAGGATGCTGGGCAGCTGCTTATGAGAATGCACCAGTTTCAGTAAAGCTTTTGCTTAACCACAATTTTTTTTTCCCTTTTAGGACCTGCTGAACATGTGGCCAAAGACTGGTACTTCTTCTGCAGCACAGGGTACCAGACATCTCACCAGCTTGTTTGGCCCTCAGGCTTGGCCCTCTGCTGTGCTATGGGTGGAGGTACCCAGCCAGGCCACCCTGAGACAGACCAGTGCAATTCTGAGCAGCATTTTGGGGGAACAAAGCTTCTTTTATGCTGCATTTGAAGTCTGAGGAGGACTTGGGGGTTTTTGACAAAGAAGCACAACATGACCCTGCACTGTGCGCTTGCATCCCAGAAAGCCAACTACATCCTGGGCTGTATCAAAAGGAGTGCAGACAGCAGGCCAAGAGAAAGGATTCTGCCCCTCTACCCTGCTTTCATGAGATCGCACCTGCAGCGAGTGATGCATCTAGTTCTGGGGCCTGAAACATAAGAATGATGTGGACCTGTTGGAGAAGGTCTGGAGGGCCATGGCTGCAAGCACCTCTCCTATGGAGACAAGCTAAGGGAGCTGGGGCTGTTAGCCTAGAGAGAGAAGGACCTGGGAAGACCTTAAGAGTGCCTAAAGGGGCCTACATGAGTTATGGAGAAAGGCTTTTCACAAGGGCATGCAGTGAGAGGACAAGAGGAATGGTTTTAAACTGACACAGGGTAGACTTACATCAGATAGTAGGAAGTTCCTCCCTGTGAGGACACTGAGACACTGGCACAAGTCACACAGAGAAGCTGTGGCTGCCCCATCCCTGGCAGTGTTCAAGGCCCAGTTGGAAAGGGCTTTGAGCAACCTGATCTAGTGGAAGGTGTCCCTGCCTGTGGCATGAGCAACCCATCCACAGCAGGTCAGACGCAGCAGACAGGGAGCAGTTTAACTTTCCAGGCATCCCTGCTCTCTTATTCCAACTGCTGCAGAAGTGGACTCGGCTTCCCAACGCCTCCCCAGGGAAGAACACAATTTTCTAGAGCTTTCCAAGTCTTTCACTTGCAATGAAAGCCCATCAACCCCCCACATGCCCAATTCATGCACAATGGTCCAAGTGATGGCAGTTAAGAGAATTTAGTGTCAATGTATTTGATGTCTAACAGGCAGTACAAAAAAAGCTTTATATTTTATTTCTTGTAAAAATCTTTTAACACATGCAGACTAAAACCAGTGTAAGAAAGTATCCACCATCATTTAAACAAATAACTATACTTAAATATAAGTGTCTGCAATTGACTTGTATAAAAATAAGGTATGTTTTTTACAGATCCATTCTCCAGTTCTCATATCAATAAACAATACACAACTCTAGTACATACAATTTAACTTGATCCTTGTTTTCCACCAATTTGATACTGCTAAGGTTTTAATGTGCAAAAGTTGGTAAGTTTCTTTCCCAAAAAAGAGCCTTCTACATGTTTTAGAAAATTAGATATTGGGTTTAAATTAATCAAATGCTAATCAGTTCCTTTGCTCTCAGAGAGTCCACTGCTATGTTATTATATACAGGCCTAGCTAGGAGAGGGTGCAGGGGCTAACTTCAGCGCCTATGCCTGCTGTGTCCTGACCGGCCGCCACTGTGGTGCTTGCCCTTGTGGGACCTCTCAAAGGAGCGGGATCTCTCACGCCGCTCTCTGTGGTGTCCCCGCTCATGCCGGTGCTTCTTGGCAGTGTCAGAATGATCCCTGGATTTGCTCTGCGAACGCGAACGGGACTTTTTCCTTTTGTGACCGTGTCTATTTGCACTCTTCAGCTCCTCCCTGCTGTGTTTGGTGGTCTTCAGGTGCGGTGAGCCATGATTGTGGTGTCGGCGAGGGCTGCCGCTGTGGCTGCGGGACCTGCTTCTCGATCTTGAGCTGTATGTCCCAGACAGGCTCCGCCTGTTATTGTAGCTTACAGAAAAGCACTCAAAGTTAAAACGTGCCTTCCACACAGAAGAGAATTACTTTCTCCCACAGGGAGAAATATAATCATTAAGTGATGAATGACAGTGAGCACCTCAGAACATGCCTTTGAATGAAGTTCCTTTGAAAATAAAAGACCCTAAGCCAAACCCAAACCCAGAATGCGTCACCTTTCACAACCGTTCCTCCTTGTCAAGAATTTTCCCTCAGTGCCAGACTGGAAACTGGTTATTGCCTTTTTCCTTCAGTGATCTGGCAGTCAGCAATACTTAGGGGAACAGCTCAAGATACAAGCTGGCAGCTTCCAGTTTGGAAGTCAGCCTCAAGATTCTTTAAAAGTACCTACATAAAGCTAGTAGCTACTGCTGCATCACACTGCAGAATTCTGCCCTTTCCCCAGTCACAGAAAACAGGCAGTGCACTGAAGAGCCCAGACAGTACATCTTGCAGCACCGACAGAAGTCATGTTCTCTGGTTCATTTGGAAGAAAGCTGTGAGACATGAAACTGTCTCCTATGGCACTTCTCACTACTTCAAGGTGGACCAAGTTCCAAGAAACTTGTTTTAATTTATAACAAATTCCTTGTGAAGTTCATAAAACAGGGTAAAACTACCTAACCCTCACTCCACCACAGACTCATGTGCAGTTTGCACAGCCTGAAGCTTCCATTTTACAGCAAAGCTTTTACAGCTTGAACTATTAACAGCACAGCTACCAACAAAACTGTTCCATGTTAAGAATCAAGAGCCTAAAAAGCCCAACCCAAGTCTCCCAACTTTTGCTGGCCAGCACTCAGAAACTTGTGCCAGGCATCTACAAGCTACCTGGAGTGATCCTACCTCTTGGAAGTGAAGAGCCCTGCTGAGATGTCCCAAAGAACTAAACATGACAAAAAAAGGACACCAACTCCCAAACCCCCTACCCAGAGAACTAAACATGACAAAAAAAGGACACCAACTCCCAAACCCCCTACCCCTTCCCTGCAACCCCAACCAACCAAACAAAAATGCACTACTACTCACTGCCGCCTAGGAGTGTGAGATCGAGACCGTGACTTTGTTCTTGACCGAGATCGACTGGCGCTTCTGCTGCTTCTACTTCTCTTGCTTTCTTTTCTCAAGCTTGAGGTGGAGGGAATTAAATAGGGTTACATTGCTGAGGTACTCATTGCTTCCATTAAATAGCTCAGAAGTAGAGCTATTTCAACTTCAACTGTACTTCTGTTGAAGAACCAGTTTTTACAGAAGTATTCTTTTAATCAGGAAGAGATTTTTACCTACCCATTGTAAGGGCTCTTTGAAGCTTGCTGCCTCTCTTCTGGATCTTTTTTAAGAGTTTTGGTATTGAGAGATACTGGACTCTTGTCTTGAGCTTTTTCTTCTCTTGGGGAAGCTAAGGAATTTAAGTTCAAAATTAGGTACTTGTTTCACAGACTTTGTCATAAACAAACCGTATCCTTTATACGACTTTAACAATATTTGCACAAAACGTAAATAGGAACACAAGAGCCACTATTTCACTTCATTTTTCCATTTGTAGCACATCATTGAAGAGAACACTGGAATACAGCACTTGCAGGGAGAATCATCATTTAAAGCAAACTGCCAGAGGGTGGGGAGGAAGAACACTGATCTTCAAGCCAAGACAGCTGATGAAGCCCAGAGATGGACTAACCTTGCAATGGAAGGGCTACTATGCAAGACTGATACTTGCTGACAGCACGACAGAGGTGCAGCATCAGGACTTAAACCACAGCTTCCTCACTCAGTAGGGACTGGAGGTTTAATACAGAACTACAGAAACGCGGAATTCTGCCAGCTTTCCCTCACTTTGTCAGCTACCAAGAAGCCTTCTAGAATCCCACCATAGGTCCTGCTTTCATTCTACCTTTTCTAACCTAGGCCCCCTTTTCATAGAAATAAGAAGCTCTCACTGTCTAGTGAGAAATCTGTACTTCCCAGCTTAAAGATCTCTGGAAACTCAGGTGTACTGTTCTTAAGGAGAAGTAACTGCTACAAATACTACTTTTTCTCAGAATACATTCAGAATAAGCTCCTGAAAAGGCCATATAAACAAACAAGAGCCTGTGCCTTCTACTTTACACACCATCACTGGACCAGTGCTCACAGCAGCCTTCAAATTTCATAGGTGGTTTACAGAGCAATAGGATTTTAAGAGGTAAAAGCACCAAGGCAAAACTGTTCTTTATCAACAGAGCTCAGATTTATTGGCTGGTTCAAGATACACATTGCAACAACATGTTCCCGCTAATACCAAGATGGCACCATGACTTTCCCTTCTCTATTTCCTGACAAGCTGTCTTCTTTCACTGCACTTAAAACACTAGACAAGTGTTTTCAGAGACAGATGCTGCAAAAGGAACCAGAAAGCCTATTGTGACATCCCTCCTCACAGATTAAATCTAGAAGGTCTCTTCACAACACAGTAATATATAATATACTCCTGGGTCTGGACATTTTCATAATTATCTTACGGGTGCTTATTAATATATCC